GGTGATTTTTATAGTTCAGTGTCTCCTTTTAAGGTATCAGGTAGAGGATATTAGAAAAGAGGAAGATTTGAAATACTCTTTGTGAACTTCTGGCATAGTTATTAACTTGCCACTCTTCTGGAGGAAATAATGAATTCCTGTATGATACATCTATCTGGCATTGGTGTTTTAGTGTAGCCGATTCCTGGGACTGTGGAGTGTGGAGTTTATGGGCATTGTCTCTTTAGGCTTGGAAGGTCTCAACCATCAAGCTTGTTCTTAGCCAAAAGGATATTCTCTGCAACAAGCTGCACCATTCTCTTTTGAGGGGTTGAGCAGCCATTAGTTACCTAACTGGCAAAACTGTTTACACAGTATTGAGTTTCTATACCATAAGGTCACTCTTATTTGGAAATCTCTCAGACCAGGAGTCAGGCCTTTGGTGAGGAAGAGGCTTATGTTAGCCCTTTATCCCTGCTTCTTTTTAAAAATTAATATTTAACAATGAGAAACATGCTAAAACCAAAGAGTTAAACCAAAGAAAAAAAATTGTACAATCTTCCCCTCATATCTTCACAATAACTATACTATAACATGTACTATACTTTTTTTTCTTTTTTTTTGAGACAGAGTCTCGCTTTGTTGCCCGGGCTAGAGTGAGTGCCGTGGCGTCAGCCTAGCTCACAGCAACCTCAAACTCCTGGGCTCAAGCAATCCTTCTGCCTCAGCCTCCCAAGTAGCTGGGACTACAGGCATGCACCACCATGCCTGGCTAATTTTTATATATATATATATATGTATATTTTTTTTTAGTTGTCCAGCTAATTTCTTTCTATTTTTTTTAGTAGAGACGGGGTCTCGCTCTTGCTCAGGCTGGTCTCGAACTCCTGAGCTCAAACGATCTGCCCGCCTCGGCCTCCCAGAGTGCTAGGATTATAGGCATGAGCCACCGCGCCCGGCCAACACGTACTGTACTTGATAGCAAACTCTTACAGACATGTGACTGATTAATAATACTGTGTTTATACAATCAACCCCTTTTATAGTTACCTTAACTCTTCCCTCCATGTACTGTCACTTCTGTCACTGTTCTTGGAACAGTTTGGCTGGTCATGTGCCCAGATGGCATCAAGTGGACAAGTGGATCAAGGACAGTTTTCTAAAAATGTATGTGCATGTGGAGGGGGGTGAACCAGGAGCCAGCCAGCTTGAGCTCTGTGCTACTTGTTTGTTGGCACCGAGATCCTGAATGCCAGTTCTCGACTGTCCTTGAAACTGCCCCTGACACGAGGGTATTCTCTTCTTCGGCCTACTGTCTAAAACCTATACAAAGCTCTGTACCTTAATAGCTTATGAATAAATCTGGTTGTTAATTGTTTATACCCGTACTTTTTTGTTTTGGTTCTTATTTTGCATAAAGAAAGGGAGTCTTGGCTCCTTTTAATGTCCACATCCAATTACATTTCACATGCAGTACATAATTTTGAAGGAGGCAACCCCGAGTAAGACAATTAGGAACAGTTTTAGTTGACAGTTACATGCTTAAAAAAAGATACTAGAGAGGAAGCAGAAGCAAAGAAGGAGAGGTGTGTGAGAGACGAGATGTACAGAAGGGAGCAGAGAGAGGTAGGAGATGGCTTAGAGCCTGCTGAGGGTAGCTCGTGCTAAGCAAAGCTCCTGGGAATCTTCTTGTATTGCAAGTAACTAGCAGGAAAGTAATAATGAGGTATCAAACACCTGTACTTTAACAGATAGCTGAGGACCAAGAGAAAAAGGGGACCAAATACATGAAAATAACCTGGAGCAGCTGATAGATGGACAAAAGTTATAAACCAGAATCTAGAGAAATATTGGTAACAGTATAGTCAGCAGGTCTAAGCACACCATTAAACTATTTTCCCCTCCTTTAATGTTTAACTTGATCTGGCACCTTTATTTGTTTCATCTTCTTAATGGTAGAACACTAAACAGGAGACTAGGTTCCAATCCTATCTTAGTCATTAGCTAGTTTGACGGGGTGGGGTGGCATTCTCTTACCTCAAAATGAAGAAATTGGATTAAATGACCTCTAAGGTCCTTGCTAGCTCTAAAAATCTGTAATCAGCTATGTCAAAGCTTCAGAGACTTAGAACTCCTATCATATCAGGTCAGGGAATAAAAGAGAATGTGTGTATAGTGGTATATAGGACACTGAACAGTTGATATAATGAGTGTGAAATCAGGGAGATGATGAAGGAAAAAAACTGTATTTTATGGGATATTTGGGACATTCTCTCTTGAAGAGGAATTATGGTCTGTGATGTTAGAGGCTTGTGGGAGCCAAGTGTCAGGTTGTTTTGTTCATTTTAGTTGCCTTTTAAACTCCCTCTAGAGAATTACTACTTCCAGGTGAGAAAATCCTGGCTTTTGGGGCGTGGTCGTGGTATCTGACCTGAATTATCATGGACAGAATGCAAGTGCCCATGGTACTAATGCCCAGAGTATTGTAGTACTGGACTCTCCTCAGTGCTGTTTGGCTCTGCTGATGTCTGTGGCAGTTGGGACACAGGTTGCCTCTTGATCTGTGCCAGAATTGCTCTCTTCCTCCTCTTGTATTTATCACTTTGTGATCCCTGACTCTGAATCCCAGAGATCAAGGCTAGCCATAGCCCAGCAGAGAAGCAATAAATCATTGCTCCCACATCCCTTCCTCCAGGTCTCCTGCTCCTTAATTACCACATAGCCACTGCTGAGGCTGCATCTTTGTGCTGTGTGTGCTGGGGACAAAAGCTCTTGTTGAGTAGATGTGTGCAAAAGCTGCTTCGTCTTTCTCTCTAGCCATTATGTTTTGCAGAGTGCCACTTGTGCTACTTATTCCCTTCTCTTGTCTCTTGTGAGTTTATAGAGTCTGATTGTCAGGTGGTTTATCCATTAACAGGGTTTATATAATCTCTGGGATTAGGGGATGGGGTGGGAAGCCCCTAAATAGCCCAGCAAAGTGATCTTCATTAAGGAGGAAAGTTTGGCTTGGGTAGTCATTTTTATGTGGATTTTAGCTAGCTCCCTTCATTCCCTGTGCTCTCCTGGTAAGGAGCTAACTAAACAGGTTGTATGATCCAGAATGGGCCTCCACAGGGCTCTTTTTTTTGCGGGGGAGGGGGATCCAGTCTAACAGATCACTTCTTAACAGACACCATCAAAAGGACCAGCTGCTTATCATTTGCCTTTTCATTATGAAGCCCCAGAGAACTTAAGTCAGGGCAAGGGTAAAGAGTTCATAAATGAGGGTGCCTACCTCGTTCATCTGCTAGCAAAGCTTTTTTGCTGTTTGAGGGGAAGATTCAGGCTTTAGAAACAGAATGTGGGTGAAGCCAGGCTCTTGTTCTTTCCTTCCTGCTGTTTCTTTACTGTACCTGTGCTTTTAGAGGATTGAGAGTGATGGGGTGTTGTGTGGCAGGCAGTAAGTATCTGGAGTAGAGTCGGACTCCAGTAGAGATGGGGAACCTGCAGGCTCAAGGCCACATGTGGCCCTCCAGATCCCCAAGTGTGGCCCTTCAGGTGCATCCAAACTTTTAATAAAGGGATTTATTCTGTAAAATTTGGTTTGTTTTTTTTGTTGTTGTTGTTGTTTTCAGAGACAGAGTCTTGCTCTGTTGCCTGGGCTAGGGTGCAGTGGCATTATCATAGCTCACTGCAACCTTAAACTCCTGGGCTCAAGCGAGCCTCCTGCCTCAGCCTCCCAAGTAGCTAGGACTACAGGCGCATGCCAGGACACCTGACTAATTTTTCTATTTTTAGTACCGATGGGGTCTCACTGTTGCTCAGGCTGGTCTCAAACTCCTGAGCTGAAGCAATCATCCTGCCTCAGCCTCCTAGAGTGCTAGGATCACAGGTGCGAGCCACCGTAAAGTGTGGATACAGTCAAAAGGCTGCACTCAAGGATCTAGAAAGCCACATGTGGCCCCAAGGCTGCAGGTTCCCCACTCCTGCCAGACAGTATAGGAGAATGAACTTCTTTGCTGGCAAAGAAGTAGATATGGTCTTAGACATGGAGAGGTCAAGCCTTTTTTTTGGTCCTGTGGGAGGGTGGAGGTTTGAGGGGGAGAAGACAGAAGGACCACAGATTGCCTGTAGCTGCTGAACCCCTTCTTTATAGTATCTCATCAAATAGGAGAGCTAGGTACAGGGGCATTATTCAAGATGGGCACAGAAGCAGGATTCATTTCATGGATAAATGTCCTAGGTGAATTAAGTGCAAAGCAACTGATAATTTCTTTTATGCTTAATATTTATTTGCAAAAAATATCTTTAAAGCTACATTGTTAACCTAGGGACTGGGCAGTCAGTCTCTTTACTGAGATTGCTTGGATTTTTAGCAATCTCTCCCCTCACTAAGGATTGCCAAGCAGAAAAAAAACCTTTTCAGTAAATGTTGTCACTGTCAAGAGAGGTTAGAGCAAGCTGCACTTCTGTTTGAATAGCTGGAGCAGTAAACGGCTTTTTTCTCTTCATGAGCTCTCCTCCTATCCAGAGCTGAAGCCCAGCTGTAGGTTCTACGGTACAGCTGCCACATGTGGTGACCACTTAGAATTGGTAGGATGTCCCTTTTAGCAATGGTGTTTGAAACAAAAACATGGCTGAAGCTTTGTGACAATAGATGCTAGAAGCCCAGGGTGGAAGAGGACCCTCATTTTCATCTGTAAATTGAGCAAATTTGATGGGGAAATCACCATGTGGGAGTAAATTTGGAACACTGAGATGTCAGTTTTATAGTCAAATTTCTGAGCTTAATTGCTATTTTAAAAAGTGGTAAAAAGAAGTAGATTTTAAAAAACCTTTCATGGGTAGATAAGCAGACATGTACTGGGAAGGTTAGTGCTTGCCTCAAATATACCCATTTTAGCTGCTTTTTTAGAGACCTTGGTAGCTGAGGCTTATTCATTCTAGCTCTATGGATTTCTGTAGGGTTAGTCTGCTTTCATTTACTTTCATTGATTGTGGTTTAAATAGCTTGTTGATGTCTTTTTTTTTTTTTTTTAAAGCCTTGATAAATTTGCTGAAGTTCCTTATGTCAAATGAGACTGTTCTTTTGGCCAAACACAACATTTTTACATTAGCCCTTATGGTGAGTAACAAAACAAATATTTCTTTTTCTGAAGCTATATGATAAGGCAGAAATGGAAAGAGAAGCTGGTGGTCTGGGGACTAAGCCATAGCGGGAACCAGGACTATATTTTCCATTTGGATCAGAATCTCTAGACTGGTGATCCTCACTCTTATCTATTATGTCTTTGGCAAACCTGGGGCTCTTTTTCCTTCATGAGAGTATTATTGTCTGGCAGGAGTGGGTATAGGTCAGATCTCTGTATATAAATAGTGAGCCTTGGTCCCAGATGAGAAACTGTACTATGCAATCTCTATGTTGGTAAATAGCAAATCCTCTAGAGGTATCCCAGCCAGATAAGTGGTGTATGGTTGCACCTGGTTTCTGAGGGATATTACAGATGTCTGTTTATCTGGCTGGTTATTTGGGGTGGAAGGAAGCCATTGTGCCTTTTGACTTTCTTCTTAGGATATTACCTAGTATGTTCGTAAATGTTCAACATTTGAGGGGAAAATCAGCATTTGCTGATTTTCGTTGTATAACTACACCCACCATGGCCAATTTCAAGCTGTCAGTGTGACATCAGAGTCATGCAGAATTGGGAAGAGATGTGCAGTAGCGCACCGTTATATGGTATTCCCACCACACAGATATAAGAGGTATAAATTAATCTCCAGAGCATAGGTAATGGTAAAAGCAGAAAATAACTAGGAAGTGATAAGTTTTGAGTATTTATTGCTTTCCTTTTAATATAATTTATTTAACTGTAAGTTTATATGAGTGAATTTTTAATAATGGCTATGTTTAACAACTAGCTTACAAAATGCCTAAAAATGTAATAATCAGCTCTTGTAAGCCAGTAAGAGCTGGCTACAGCACACCACTGATAATTTCTGGTCTTCATAGCCTGATGCCTATATATGAATGTCTGCTTCTTTTTTAGATTGTGAACCTATTTAATATGTTTATCACATATGGTGACACATTCCTGCCAACCCCCAGCAGCTATGATGAACTTTACTATGAGATTATCCGCATGCACCAGAGCTTTGACAACCTCTACTCCATGGGTAAGCTGTCTTTTCTGAATTTTACTCCTCTCTTTCTATCAGCTGTCTGGTTTTTGGCATATAAGAGGAAAAGACTATAAAAGATTCTCCTCTAGTTGTTTGCTCTTGCATGGCACAGAAATATAGTAGTCTCCTCTTCTCAGGCAATAGAAAGGTATATGTGGGCCTTTTTGCCTTTAGGAACTCAGATTTCATCTCAGTGGAAAGCTGGTTAGCAGCCCTTTGTTGATGTTTGTGAGGGAGGAAAAGGAGGCTTGTGGATTCAGTGAATGCCAGGGAGATGGGGGTGAAAGAGTGGGTGGGAACTGACAGCACCAAATAGAAGAGCTTGGTTCCCAAAGGAACACTGTGTGATTTGAGAAGCTACAGGATTTTAAGGAATCTTAGTGTACCTATGTATTTTTAGTATAACTTACAAGTGGAAGTGGGCATTAGATAAAAATCTTTTTTGCAAACCTTTTAGTGATTGGCTTACTGAAAATTTACTCTGCAGCTATAGTGAGTATAACTTATTTCTAAAAGAGGTCATGTGTCCCTGTAAGTTTGAGAAGGTGCTTAGTCAATCCTACCTGGAATTTAAAAGGTAAGGAAAGATCTCTGTAGATTGCACAGAATAGAAAGCCACTCAGTAGAACTATCTTATTAAAAATACCCCAACTTACTTGCTTTATTGAGGAATAATTAATAGATAATAACCTATACATATTTAACATATACAAATTTTGATAAATTTTGACATATGTACAACCATCACAGTGATCAAGATAATGAACATATCCATCACTTCCCAAAAGTTTCCTTGTATCTCTTTAGAATCCTTCTCTCGTGTCCCTCTCCCTACCTCCACCCACCACGCCTCATCCTTGAGCAAGCACTAATATGCTTTCTGTCACTGTAGATTAGTTTGCTTCATCCCTTGTGATGGGACTATTTGTGAACATCCCAACCTCTGCTTGGGACTCATACATCTTGAGAAAAGTAGAAGGGACTTGGAACAAGTACCAGGAGAAAGAGGAGAAGCAAGCAGGGAAAAGGAAAGATTGCCTGAGAGGAAAATATTTTTTCCCCTTCAAGTGCATATTTCTCCAAGTTTTAACTCCCCTCTATAACCTGTCTGCTTTTGTTTAATTTTCAGAGCCCTCAGATAATTACTTTTCATATTTTATCCAGGGTTTTTAGCTGTGATCAGCAGGAGAGAGAGGCTTTAGTGGGCTTACTTTGCCATGCTGCAAGTGGAACCTCACCTTCATTTTATTTATTTATTTACTTTTATTGAGGTAAAATATGCATTTATAATGTACCATCTTTACCATTTTTAAGTATACAGTTCAGTGGTAATAAATACATTTATATTCTTTTTTTTCCCGCTTCATCCCTCCTCCTCGCTCCCCCTTTCCTGGCCTCTGGTCACCACCATCACTTTCATTTTTTTTTTTTTTTTAAAGATATTTTTGCTGAGTATAAATCTTTCTTTCAATACTTTAAAATGTCATTTTCATTGTTTTCTGGCTTACATGGTTGCTGATAAGAAGTCTATTGTTATCTTTGTTTCCCTATATATAGTGTCTTATTTTTCTCTGAATGCTTTTTAATATTTTCTCTTTATCACTGGTTTTCAGCAATATAATTAACACATGCTTTGCCATTTTCTTTTTATGTTTATTTCACTTGGGGTTCTTTGAGCTTCTTGGATCTGTGGGTTTCTAGTTTTTATCAAATGTGGAAAATTTTTGGCTATGATTACTTCAAATATTTTTCTGTTCCTGCTCTTCACTTCTTATTTTGGAATTTCAATTATGTATATATGTTAGATCTCTTGACAGTGTCCTGTAAGTCAGTGGTCCCCAACCTTTTTGCCACCAGGAACCAGTTTCATGGAAGACAATTTTTCCATGGACTTGACTGGGGGGATAGTTTTGGGATGATTCAAGCACATTACATTTATTGTGTGGTCAAATCTCTCTGCTGATGATAATCTGTATTTGCAGCTGCTTCCCAGGGCTAGCATCACCACCTCAGCTTCACCTCAGATCATCAAGCATTAGATTCTCATAAGGAGCACAGAACCTAGATGCCTTGCATATGCAGTTTACAGTAGGTTTTGCGCTCCTATGAGAATCTAATGCTGTGGCTGATCTGACAGAAGAGAGAGCTTGTGTGGTGATGTGAGTGATGCGGAGTGGCTGTAAATACAGATGAAGCTTCACTCGCTCGCCCACTGCTGACAGAGTGCTGGATTACAGGCGTGAGACACCATGCGTGGCTGGCATAGTAGTTTTTATGGTGTGGATGCTGTACTTTTTTTTTTTTTTTTTTGAGTCAGGGTTTTGTTCTATTGGCCAGAGTGAGCTGGAGTATGGTGGCACCATCCCAGCTCACTGTGTGGTGCAATCACAGCTCACTGTGATCTTGAACTCCTGGGCTCAAGCAATCCTCCCAGCTTGGCTGCCTGAGTAGGTGGCACTACATGTGCGCACCACCACACCCAGCTAATTTTTTTTTTTTTTTGGTAAAGATGGGGTCTTGATATGTTGCTTAGTATCAAACTCCTGGCCTCAAGTAATTATACTGCCTCAGCCTCCCAAAGTGCTGGGATTAAGGTATAAGCCACTGCACCTGGCCCACATTTTATTATATTTCTTTACATAATGTTGGACTTTGTTCTGGAATGTGGTTATGTTATGTGGAATCAGGTTGATCCTTTCAGGGTTTGCATTTAAGGGTTGAGGGTAAGTCATGAGCAATCTGTAATGTAGGCTTATTTGCGCCTGTTACTAATGCAATACCCATCTACGGAGTCTACCTGATACCCCTTATATTATTAAGTCTTTCCACTCTCACTGGTGGAAGGACAAGTTATTTTCTTTGTGGAGCTTGCCATGATCTTCTCAATGCCTTCTACTTTCTAGTGGTTCTTTGCCCTCAGCCTTGAGTAGTTTCTTCTTCCATATGCACAGATCAGTGGTCTGCAAGAAATGTAAGGGGGACTGACCCCTCTGTGGATCTCCAGAGCTATCTGTCAAACTGCCTTGTCAAGTGTTGTGTCCTATACCTTCTAGATGCCTTGGCCTCTCCAAATGCTGATTTCTGTGTCTTTAACTTGGCAAGACTTCTGGCTTCTTTTTAGGTTCTTCCCCCCTGCCCTGCAGTGTGGAACCTTCTCCATGCAGTAAGCTGGGGTCACTATAGAGTTCACCTTGTTTTTTTCCTTCTTTCAGGGATCACAGTTTTATACTACTGCCTGTTGTCCATTATCTGACAACCATTGTTTCATATATTTTGTCCAGTTTTCTGTTGTTTAAAGTAGAGGGGTAAATTATGTCTTATTACTCCATCATGACTAGAAGAGGAAGGCTCACTGAGACTTTTTTTTTTTTTTTTTTTTTTGAGACAAAGTCTCACTCTTTTACCCGGATTAGAGTGAGTGCCTTGGCATCAGCCTAGCTCACAGCAACCTCAAACTCCTGGGCTCAAGCGATCCTACTGCCTCAGCCTCCCGAGTAGCTGGGACTATAGGCATGCGCCACCATGCCCGGCTAATTTTTCTATGTATTTTTAGTTGTCCAATTAATTTCTTTGTATTTTTAGTAGAGACGGGGTCTCACTCTTGCTCAGGCTGGTTTAGAACTCCTGAGCTCAAACAATCCGCCTGCCTCGGCCTCCCAGAGAGCTAGGATTACAGGCGTGAGCCACCGCGCCTGGCCCACTGAGACATTTTTGATAAAGGTACACACTTAATGTTCCTATGACATTATTTTACTGTGGTAAAGTCCACTGAAGAGGAAAGACCTCCACAGAAGCTGCCCTGAACCATAAATGACATCACATTTTGAACTATTTTTTTTTTAATTTAAAAAATTTTTTAGAAATGAGGTCTCCCTAATGTTGCCCTGGTTTGTTTCAAACTCCTGAGCTCAAGCAGTCCTCCTGCCTCAGCCTCCCTGGTAGCAGGGACTACAGGCACATAGCATTATGCCCAGCTTGAACTGTTTTTTTTGTTTTTAAAAATAACGATACTGAAGAAGCACCATAGAAAAAAATTTAAAATCTTATAATTCCTTGATTCTAGTATCACTATTTTCATTATTGTATATTAGCCCACATGCAAACATAGTTTTACAAAACATAGTTGTAATCATGGTATCCTTCCATTTTGTGTTTTTCAACCCATATATCATAAGTATTTTGTAACTTTCCTAAGTCTCTTTTTTAATGGCTGCATAGTATGTTATTTTTGTGTATCATAATTTACTACATAAATGATTGCTTTAATTTGAGGCTTTTAGGGCATTTTGAAATAATTTTGTGTTTAAATTTGGTAGCTTATAAAAGAATGTAAAAGCCAGTGGCATTTCTAGAGGAAATGCAGTGATGAGGTCATCTGAGTGCTCGTTCACTAAGGAACAGAGCTGACAGGATATTACAGAGAAATAACCCATGGACAGAGTTAAATACCTCTCTGAAAGTGTGAGGAGGGGAAAATTCAGCTAATTCCATAAGTGTTTAGGTTCCTACCATCAAAGAACTTATGATTTAGTGGTGGATCTAGTGAAAAACCAATGCACCTAAACAAATTTCACAATTGAGTTGAGCAAGACCATGTCTGACTCACTGAAACAATTTTGTTTATTACATGAATAAATTTACACATATACTGGGGTGAAACCTAAGTTCAGACTATAGACCTCTAACTGGAACTTTACCGAATTCTCTTGTACTAAATCCTATAAATTAGAAAAGCAGGCTGGTTGTGGTGGTTCGTGGCTATAATCCTAGCACTGTGGGAGACCAAGGCAGGAGGATTGCTTGAGGTCAGGAGTTCAAGAAAAGCAGCACTCTGGCCAGGTGCAGTGGCTCACGCCTGTAATCCTAGCACTCTGGGAGGTTGAGACGGGAGGATTGCTTGAGCTTAGGAGTTCGAGACCAGCCTGAGCAAGAGCGAGACCCCGTCTCTACTATAAATAGAAATTAGCCAAACAACTAAAAATAGAAAAAATTAA